ATCTATCTATCTATCTATCTATCTATCTATCTATCTATCTATCTATCATCTATCTATCTATAATTTATTGGCCACCCATCTTACCACAGTGTAACTCTGGACAACCTACAATATTAAAAAATAAAACTGTATAACTAGAATGATTCAAAACTTTAAGACACAAAATGTAAAATACAAAATACGACTTAAAAGATGAGGAGGGAGGGAATAGGATGAGCAGGGGGGGAGGTGAGATCTGATATTCATCTATAAGCCACCTCCAACATGAAGCTCCTTCTTTGGAGCTCCAAGCCAACCAGCAGAGCTGGTCTATTGAAGGAATTGATAAGCGGATCCCTTTACTAGAGTAAGAACTATTTTTTTTAAAGCTAAGAAAAAAAATAGAAAAAAGTTTATACAAAGCTGACGGCTGGGTCAAGAAGATGTCAAGAGGAAAACCTTCTAAGCACCAATTCCACCCGTGCTTTTTACAATTTTGTAAACAACAAACTAAAAGACTCAAGGTCCATCCCACCCTTGATAGGACCTGATGGTAAAGACTGCAACGATGACACCATTAAAGCCAACCTCTTTAACACATTCTTCGGCTCAGTATTTGTAAACAGCAATGGATCATGCCCAGTATTTCCTAGCCGTACCACAGATAACAACAATGATCTAATACATATCAATTTTACAGAAGACAATGTTGAAAAAGCACTACGCAATCTAAAACCATCTCTATCTATTGGACCGGATGGAATATGTGCCTACTTCTTAAAAAAGCTATCCACTGCCACAGCCAAACCTCTAAGCATAATCTTTGAAAAATCTTTCAGGACCAGCTCCTTGCCTAACCTATGGTCACAAGCCACAGTCATCCCCATCTTCAAAAAGGGAGACCCAAGCCTAGTTGAAAATTACAGACCAATCTCCTTATGCTGTGTCACCTGTAAAGTCATGGAATCAATTATTAACCAATCCATCATCCTCCACTTAGAGACAAACAACCTACTCTCCAATAAACAATTTGGTTTCAGAAAAAAACTATCCTGTAATCTGCAACTCTTACACTGCAAAAACATATGGACGACACAACTCGACCAGGGCAAAGCAATAGACGCAATCTACATAGACTTCTGTAAAGCCTTCGATTCAGTGGTACACGACAAACTACTCCTAAAAATAAAATCCTATGGTATCTCTGGACAACTGAATAACTGGATAGAAGCATTCCTGGCAAACAGACAACAAATGGTCAAAATTGGGAGCGTCCTATCAAATTCTGTACCTGTCAATAGTGGTGTCCCCCAAGGCAGTGTTCTAGGACCAACTCTCTTCATACTCTACATAAATGACCTCTGTGATCATATTAAGAGCAATTGCGTTCTTTTCGCTGATGATGTAAAGCTGTTCAATACCACAGACAATACTGCTACCCTACAAAAAGATCTTGACTATGTATCAGAATGGTCAAACAAATGGCAACTTCAAATCTCAACAAATAAATGCTCTGTCTTACATATTGGCAAAAAAAATCAGAAAATAAAATACAAGCTGAATAGTCAAGATCTTGTTGATGACCCAAGCTCTGTAAAGGACCTTGGAATACTCACCTCTAATGATCTAAGTGCTAGAGCCCACTGCAACTACATAGCCAAAAAGGCATTAAGAGTTGTTAACCTAATCCTACGTAGCTTTTTCTCTGGTAATATCACACTACTAACCAGAGCATACAAAACATTTGCTAGACCAATACTCGAATACAGTTCATCAGTCTGGAACCCACATTACATATCTGATATTAGCACAATTGAGAAAGTCCAGAAATATTTCACAAGAAGAGTTCTCCACTCCTCTACTCGTTGTAGAATACCTTATGCCACCAGACTTGAAATTCTAGAACTAGAAAACCTTGAATTACGCCGTCTTCGGTCTGATTTAAGCATGGTATATAAAATCATACATTGCAATGTCCTACCTGTCAATGAATACTTCAGCTTCAACCATAACAACACAAGAGCAGAACAATAGATACAAACTCAATGTTAACCGCACCAAACTTGATTGCAGGAAATACGACTTCAGCAATAGAGTGGTCAATGTCTGGAATACTCTACCCGACTCTGTAGTTTCTTCCCCAAACCCCAAAAACTTTAACCTTAGACTGTCTACTATTGACCTCACCCCTTTCCTAAGAGGCCTGTAGGGGGCGTGCATAAGCGCACCAACGTGCCTACCGTCCCTGTCCTATTGTTTCTCTTATTCTTCTTTTATTTTTCTTATATGTACCCATTTCATGTATGCACAACTATGTATACACTTATACTTATTATCTTGTAAACAATTGGCAAATCAAATAAATAAATAAATAAATAAATAAAATAAAATGTCATATGAATTTGGGATTAAACTCAAGGGCAGGTGTGACACACACCCCTTGGAATAGTCATGAAAGAAAGGCAGAAAGAAAGAAAAGCTCTCTGAATTCTTCCCATTTGCATGAAAAGGGTTAGTAACTTACTGAACTGAATTATAACTAGAGAATGAGATGAGCCCACCAAAGGCAAGAGAAAAAGAATAGAACACTTGGGCTCCAGCATCTAGCCAGGTGACGGGGTTAGCCAATTCGGTCACCTGAGGAAGAAGGAGAAAAAAGGTTTTAAAACTTAAGCCACAGGACATCTGTAGAGAAAAGTACATTGTATAGAAATGGTGCCTTTGAGCATGCAATGTATTCATTTACAAGGATTTGTGGAAGGGGAATCTCTCGCCCTCCACTGCACCATTGGGACTATCTTATTCTATCTAGAACATGGCCAAAAATCAAGAAACAGATGATAGTTGGGTACCAATCTATTTATCACTTGTAGATATTGGATAAGCAGCAGAGTTTGGACAGACGGGCAAAAGAAAGTATTTTGGCGTCGGTAAACTCAGTTGCTTAAGCCAAAGTTTGCCAATATAAACTTTCCTTTTAAAAATTAACGTATTGGCCATTCCCACCCATTTCTGTCAATGTGGTCCTCCAGGGATAGAGACAAGGACCTTTCCTAGGTCTTTAATTCTCCTCCCTTTTTTAAAAGCTAGATATGGCAAGATTTGAACTAATTACATGCAAGTTGTATTTATTTCTACTAAGCCGTCACCTTTCTTGGGTTTAATGTAAAGATACAGACATTCTTAGGAACCCCAAGTGCCAGACCTTACCAATAATTTCATTTCTGCGCAAATACTTTCCTGGAAACATATTCTATTTCTTGATTTAATATGCATGTGTAGCAAATAGACACAGTTTGATGGGATGGGCCACAATTAAATAATTCCTGAGGTTTGCAGGAATTTATCTGGTCATTAAAGGATCACTTGAAGAGGTAACATTGAAAGATTGTTTTACAGAGGGATGGAGCTAAGGTAGGAATGAAAACAAGAAACCCCAGGGAGACAGTTTGCTGTCAACCCTTTTTAAAAAGGCGAAAGATTTATACGATCTGAAAAAAAACACCAGCGTACCCTTTTTAAACATTCCTCTGACTTACTATTGAAATGTAAGTTTTGGCAGTGTTAAATGCTGGCACTTTGAACAACCCTCGTGTGTGTGAGACAGAGGGGGAGGGAGGGAGAGAATAAAATAATAACAGCATCCACATTCCAACAAATGGCTATTTCCTATTAGAACTTAGAAAAAACCTAATAAATTGTATGAATTATGTGTATAGGATTTCTTGCAGGGATCAAAGTAACTTCATCTTTGTGTACATTTATTTTTTCTAATTTCTGTGCAACTTGACTCAGAAAGACAGGCTGGGCTTAGCATCACAAAATAATTAATCGCGTTCCATTCATTAGTTTTCTTAGGTCAGCTGAAAAAGCATTCCAATTCCAATTCTGAACTGCCTTTTTATAAAAATTGCCTGAAGTTTACCAAAGCAAAAGCTGCACAGATGAAGCTTGTCTTTGTAAGGGAGGAAAGATGTTCCTTCAATGTGCAAATGTCCCAATAATACATTAAGCCAGGGAACATTGACCTACAATATTTCTCTTATTTAAAGGACGAATAATAGTTAAAAAAAACCCAGTGCAAATTGTATTAGAATTGGAATTATCACAGCTCTTTTGATGTTAAGAAAATAACATTTTTAATTTTCTTGAAATACGAAAGTAATTAATACTTACATTTGGTGTAAACAGAAAGACAATACCATTGGTAGCTCCTTTCAGAGTCAAGCCACGGATCAGGAAAATGGTCAGGACAACATATGGAAGGGTTGAAGTCACATATACTGCCTGAGGAAGAATATGTACAACTGAGAATTGTGACATCTACATCACAAAATACTGTTCACAGGCCTACCAATAATTTCAGGTTGCAAGATACAAGAGACATAGTCTTTTCAAGGGAGATCACAATAGCTCTAGAACTACCATTTGTCAACTCATAAAGCTATTGGCTCGAGGCTCATGAATTAATTAGGGCATCTATCGGAATCCTGACAGTCTTCTCATGATTCTATCTCGATGAACTTTAAATACTTAGGCCTGTTTTTAGAGATGTTGGAATGGTTTTGAATTGGTTACTTGCTTGACAATTTCAGAATAATTCTCTCGATCATTTGGCTGAATTGTTTTCCTTTGCTATTTCAGTTTAATATTTTAGATACTGGCTTTAGTTTATAACAATTTATGACATGAAATATATGTCACTTAGGTCACTATGAGCCACTATCTTGCAATCTGATCTTCTTCATAAAATTGAGTTGAGGACAGATTTGTATTATGGAATGCTTCAATAATACTATAAACAATACTAGAGGCCAATTATGGGCAAGGTACGTATCTCCATTTAAGGCAGAACACCTATTAAATCTGAAAGCATGGACTGTTTGCAAATTTTATATTTCAACATTTGAAGTGAAGAAAATACATGGAAATATGTGGAAAATATGTTTCATATTTCAGTGAGAAATGTATTTCATGCATATTATAGATAGTCTCCAGTTTAAGAATGAGTTCTGATTTCAAGGTCTATCCTTAAGTCAAATTTGTATGTAAGCTGGAACAGTACCATTGCATAATAGTGTATAAATAGTGTATAAATATCTATGCACTATTATCAAGTTCAAGTGTAATGAACTTGAACTGTTGTGTATTTAACTTGAATCATTGTGTATTTAACACTACTTTTACTACAGTAAGCTCCATTCTTAACTCTGGGTTGTCCTTAAACCAGGTCATTCTCAAAGTGCAGATTGATAAAATATACTTCTGCAGGGGGGAGGCTACTTTCCCTAATTTGGCTCACATCTTGCTGAAACCATGTAAAACAAGAACCATGTAAATAAGGTCACATAAGAAAGGAATCATGGCTAGCAGCAACTTCTTCCCTCCCACTTATCTAGATGTTACCATGGAAGGTAGGACATAGAAACAACTCCCTCAAAAATGACTTTTTTTCTGAAGTAACATCGTATGCAAAACTGACACTGCATTATCTACGATTTCTCTACAGTTTGAAGCTCCCATGCTATGATATTCAGATCTTTATTAAAAGCAGAACTGGACATTATGTGGTCAGGGAATGCTGAGACTGGGAAAATGTGTAGTGGAGATCTGGCTGGCAGCAAGAAGAACATCTTACCGTTCCTACTTATTTTCTCTCCAATAATTGCTCTCCCACCCACCATCGAAACTAGGCTGTTTTCCAATTTCTAAACTCAAGCTGCAAGAAAATGGCTGTGAAGGGACTTTTTGATGGGGTTTTTCTCAAAGAGGATGTCCTGGAATAATTTGCAACAGAAAGAATCACAAATATAAAGAGCATTTTCCCCTCTAAGCAAAAAAAGATTGAAGTACCTTTCCTGTTGTTTCAATCCCTCTGATTGTGCACACGTACAGCACTGCCCAGGCACAAATCAAGCAGAGCAAAAGCCACCATTGTACATTTCCAGGATCATCAATAGAACTGGTAATGTTTAAGGTCTCCCTGTACCAAAAATAATCCACTGGGGAGCTCTTTGCACATTCCTCGATGAAATCTGAAAACAGGAAGACATTCAATGACTTGTGCCAGATTTTCTTTTTTTTAAGCAGCAGCATATGAGTTTGACAAAGAAAGAAAACAGTCACAAATTCAGATATTTTCAGATGAACTGAATTTAAAATTAGAGTTTTAAACTATTGAGCAATTCATAATTTGAACGTCAACCGCATAAGTTTTAAAAGAAAAACATTAATTTTTTTGTACTTATAATATTAGAGAACTCCTAAATTTCAAGAGCCAGTATTCAGCTCAATTTGCTAAAATTATACCTGACTTGAAGGTCTTCCAAAACATTAGAAGGCCTAAGCATAGGGAAATGTTGGTGATGTGTTGCCTTTAGGAGATAATTTCAGATGATGGTTGCTGTTATAAAAGCACATAGAAGAGCATCTTATATTTATGTTCCAAAACATATGTGCATGATTTATGGATCTGCTTATAAAATTATGAAAAAAGTCATCCTTGCATATTTTATATACCTCATTTAATGTGCCTTTCTTAAGCCTCACCCTCAACTGAAGATGACAGAATAAAACAAACTGCTTCATGTAGCACAACAAAGAAGGAATATTGTGATGAAGACAGAACATATTGTTTGAACAATGAAGCAGTCTTGTTAAGTGCTATCACCTCCTGCTTTCACCAAAGTCTACTTGAGTCTACTTTGAATAGCACCATAACTTAGATGGCAGTGAAATTTGGTTGTACTTAATTCCTATCAATTGGAAAATGCCACCTTCTATATAGTGGCAGAATTTGGGAATTACCATGCCATGTGGTCATTTCCTGGACTGGAGGCAGCGATGTTGGTGGATGTATTCAGTTGAAATATATTCTCAATAATGCTATTATATAATACCACTATTTTGGTAGTGTCCCCTTAGAAATGGAAGGGAATGCACATTATAATGCTGCTTTGGATTTTTGGGGGGGTGTTGGGGGAGAGAAACATGGTTTTAGATGAGGTCAGACAGCATCTGAAAATTACATTTCTCTCTTACATAAATGGTAACTTTCCTGTTTCTATTGTACAAGTTCCTGCTTGTTATATTTTAAACCAATTATATTAGAATCAGCCAGTTTGTTGTTAACTTATTAATCAATATTTCTTCTTCAAAGGAGTGTGGAATTCTATGGCCTAAGCCACATATTTTGAATAGTATTTAATAGAAAATTAGGAAGGAAGACAGGCAATGACAAAATGATTTCAATAGTGCTGTTAATGAGAAAATATGAATTGTTGTAAAAAAGCACTTGAAAATCCCATTTTTCTTTTTTCCAGAATGCTTTTCAAAGGCATAACTCCTGTAGGACTATGTACTATGTACTGTCAATTGCACAATGTCAGTGCTTTAAGAATATCTAAGCTTATTTAGATAACTGCATTAATTCATCAATTATGCTATCTATGTACCGTATATACTCGAGTATAAGTCGACCCGAATATAAGCCGAGGCACCTAATTTTACACAAAAAAATGGGAAAACTTATTGACTCGAGTATAAGCCGAGGGTGGGAAATGCAGCAGCTACTGGTAAATTTCAAAAATAAAAATAATTAATTTGGGAAACGATCTCACTATCATGAAAGGTTTAATTTATTCACTAACCCAAAAGAAGAAGATGATGATGACAGCAGGAGGCAGGAGTCACTCTCTTCCCCTCCCTCGGAGGCCCCCTGAGTCAGGAGTCACTACCGCCGGTGCGGCCCCAGTCCCGCCGCCTCGGGAAGGGAAAGGCAAAGCACTTTTTGCCTTTCCCTTCCTGGCTGGGGCTGTTGGGAGTCGCTGCCGCCGGAGGCCGCGACTCCACACCATTTTTTTTTCAGAGGGGAATCTGACTCGAGTATAAGCCGAGGGGGATTTTTTCAGCACAAAAAATGGGCTGAAAAACTAGGCTTATACTCGAGTATATACAGTAACTGTAAAAAAAAAAACAAAGTGCTATAGCAATCAATCTTTTGCTTCTTCCTGCAGTTTTGTTTTGAAAATGCAAGGCAGCAAGGTAGATCAGGTAGAAATTTATCAGAAAGATTTCAGTTGATATATTCAGGGTTATGTATGCTGCAAGAAGAACATATATTTAGTTATTTATCAGAAACTTCAACCACTACTCCAAATATTACCAATAGATACTAAGTAAACATCAATCTCCACCAGTCCCTTTATTCATTGTGTCAGATGAGACAAATCTGAATACCAAAGTCCAGATTTAATTACCATCATGCTAAGGATTCAGCAATAGAATGATTACGTCATTTGGTCAAAAGTCTTGAATGTTATGGGAGGAGGGAAAATAAAATATACATTATATTTTCTCCTATTATTTCCCCAGAGAAGCCTTCTCATGATGGCTTGTCAGCTAGTGTAAGCATTTCATTCATAGGGTGTACCTGTTCTGTTGTCATTAAGTGGACATTCGCTCCAGGGCAGTGGCTCTTGAAAGGAGTTGAAGAAATACCACATCACCCAGGCAATAATCGTATTATAGTATAGTCCCACAAGAAAGGAGACTAACATTGCTGCTATTCCTATGGAAAGAGAGGAAAAACTTGAATCAGAGCTTATTTAGTACAATTTAAAAAAATAAGATCTGTGAGAAATCTGAGTGAATAATGTTTCATTTCGGCCCCATTCCTTGAATAGAACTGATTAGTAAATATTTATACTATATAGAAAGATGTTGAGACAAGAGTCGTTTGATGGGATTGCGTGGTGATAAAGATACAGCATATTTTTCACCATTATAACCAGTGGTATTTACAGATTTGGGATTTTTTTTTCCTTAATGTTTCATTGGATTGCATAAAACAGGCTGCAGTCTCAGAATAACTACCCTGGAATACTAATGCAGCAACAGGCTGTAAGTGGAACTGCAATGGAATTTAGCTCATCAAAATCCGTGCATTTTCTTGGAATATTAACTTTCTATATTTTAGCCATGCTAGAAAGCATGGAGAAGCTGCTGGAAATGGAAAATATACAACTATTTTAATTCAATATTTTAGGTGCATTTATTTCCAGAGAACATTTAAAAAAACAATTACTGGTTTTTGATAAGCCCTTGTTTATTTATTGTCCATTGTTGATCAGGATAAAAAGTAGTTCAGTGAATGGACTGGAAATTTTAGATTAGATTCTACTTTTAATGCTATCAAGTTATTTTTTTAATGTTATTTATCATGGTGTTATAATTCAGCAACCACTTTCTTTTGTTAAAATAGTAATTGAAATGTAGTATTTCAAATAGAAAAGCAGGTAGAAATTGCTGTAAATTAAGAGGATCATATAGATAGTGTCCACCACAAAGATAAAAATAAATATTTTGTACATTAACTATAGCAAATAATTTTCCAAACTATAATAATTTAACCTGCCCCTCCATCCATTATTTCCTATGTCACCCTGTGGACATTCTGCAGTAACAAAAAAACAGATGTGTTGGGGAAATGTTTAACAGAAGGGATACTTCATCCTTGACATGCAAGAAAAAAATACAGAACTGACTAACCATACTTCAAATACAACATAAGTTTGATTAGCTTTTCTCCTTGAGTATTTGGCCAATCCTGTACTGATCACATTATTCTTCTAATGTTTATTTTCTTGTTTCAATTAAAGTTTCAAGTTCACCTATTCTTTCAGTTGGTGCATCCGTGATGCTGAGGTATCAGAGTGTATTAAAAGATCTTTGCTACTTGATGAATCAAATTATTTTCAAAACTTACCTACTCCCTTCAGGGTTGGATGGATAGAACTCCAGACTCCCACGCTACCTTTTCTGAGTCTCTGTCCAATGGCAAATTCAAGGTGGAGCAAAGGGATGCCTTCCAGGACAAGCAAGATGAGGAAAGGGATCATGAAGGCTCCTGTGGAATTACAATCAAAGTGAGTACGTTTTGAATAAAACTGGCCTAAAGTGGGCACCAGAATGGATTTATTGATCATGAGAAACAATGAAAGAGGCAGAAAAACAGTTTGGGGGAACTCTACTCTGAATCTTCTCTAGTTTGAAAGAAAATACATTACTATCAGAGGTGGTATTCAGCAGGTTCTGACCAGTTCTGGAGAACCGGTAGTGAAAATTTTGAGTAGTTCGGAGAACCAGCAAATACCACCTCTGACTGGCTTCACCCTCATCTATTCTCTGCCTCCTGAGTCCCAGCTGATCGGCTGGGTCTTCTTTTGTTGCCCTGCACAGGAGAACAGAGCTGGAAAGCAGGTTAGTGGGGTGGGGAGGGAATGGCATTTTGCAGTATCCTTCCCCTGGAGTGGTGAGGGAATGGAGATTTTACAGTATCCTTCCCCTGACACGCCCACCAAGCCACAAGCCATACCCACAGAACTAGTAGTAAAAAAAATTTGAATCCCACCATTGATTACTATGGTACTTTATAAGAACATTTGGTGCATTATCTGTGCATGCAGCCTACTACAATCATGACTGTAATAATAAAAGGATCCTTCAGTTCCTCCTGAAAGACTTCAATATGCTGTGGAACAAATCAGAAAAAAAGGCAAGAAATAGGTCAGTGGGATTGGGAAATATAAGAAAAAGGACATGAATTTTGCTTTTCTCTTCTTTTTCAGTAGAGGATGCATCCCCAGAGAGCTGTTTTATGTTATCCTCCACTTCCTGAATTTAATGCCTTTCAGGTTAGTGGGGCAGGGAAGATAGGAACTGAAACTGAGCAGTGCATTAGGTTGAAGAACTCATCTTATGTTTTCCAGCCAACTTTATGCTGAGGAATATATGTTTTTCTCAAGTACACTTGTCCTATAATATATATATAGCAAAGGGGAGAAGAGTGATCCATAATGTCAACAAACATGCTCATATTCTTTACTGTCAAGTTAGAATGTTACACAATGGGATTCAAAAAACTTTACTACCGGTGGGTGTGGTTTGATGGGCATGACATGGCTTGGTGGGCATGGCTTGGTGGGCGTGGCAGGGGAAGGATACTGCAAAATCTCCATTCCCTCCCCACTCCTGGGGGAAGATTACCACCGGTTCTCTGAACTATTCAAAATTTCCACTACTAGTTCTCCAGAACTGGTCAGAACCTGCTAAATACCACCTCTGCTTCATTGGAATGTCTCCACCTCCAAAAATATATGTGATATGATGTCCATTTTAAGTATTCGCCTTGATATTCCTCAAATTCTCATTCAAGAACATTGAATAAAATCCATTTGGTGATTCAAGGAACTGTTAGGGTGTTGTTGTTGTGTTTTTAGTTGAACTTGGCAACACTGAGTACTATGCCGCCAGCCCTTGAGCTAAACAATTGTGGCCTACTTGTTAGATCTGGAGGTGTGGGCACAATAACGGAGACGAGGCATCGGATAGTGACTCAACTCTTTAATAGTGACTTCAGAACAGAGCAACATACTTGGGCAGCAGCAGCTCTTTTATAGAGCTGGCTGCTGCCACAACAACCAATGAAAACGAGTTAACCACTCTAAAAACGTCCAATCAGTGACGGGCCGCTGTTAGCCAATCAGACCAGCCAGAGGCAGCCAATCACGATTCGCTTATTTGCGGGCCAATCAGAAGTGCAGGATTACGAACCTGCAGCTGGAGTAAAGCTAGTAGGGTTTTTTAATAATTGAGTTTATTTAGTTCGTAACACCCCTCCCCCCTTGGTTTCGTCTGAGGGGAGACGTATTCTCGCAAGTAGGCAGGCCGTTTCACCTGCCTGTTCGATTTTCACTGTTCCACCAGTTTCCGCTCTGGTTCTGGTTCCGGTGGGCTGTTTGTAGGACCGGGTGGTGACGACGGTTCCGCAACCTCGCTGGGTGACTCAGGGCTGTCTTCTCTGTTGTCATCCGGGTTCCCTGTACTTGCTTCTCTGACCGGGCTGCTCTATGGTGAGGCAATCGCCCGGCTTGGGCCTCCGCTGGAAGGCGAGTATCCCATGGTTGGTTGTGCAAACTGCTGGGCTTCGATTATTGGGTCATCTGTTATTTCTATTTCAGCCCCCTCGTCTACCCTTCCCCCCCCCCGGTTAGAGAGTCAGGGGTTGAGAGAGAGTTAGGTGCCAATCGGGAACAAAGTTGGTCTATATGGCGCTTCCATAATTTCCCATCACTAGTCTGTAGATGGTAAGATCTGGGGCCCGTAAGTTGAGTTATGGTAGCGGGGACCCACAATGGGTCAGCCGAGAAGTTTTTTGCAAAGACTAAATCGCCTACCTTAAACGCACGACACTTGCTGCTGGAACCGCAAGGTTTTTCCGGCGTGTAGGTTGGGTGTAGGCGATCAAGGTGTGAGCAAAGTTTCCGGCCCATTAGGAGTTCGGCCGGGGTTCTGTTCGTGGTGCTGTGTGGGGTGATGTGTTGGAGAAGGAGCATTCTGTTTATCTTATCGTCAATATCGCCATGTTCCATCTTGTGCAAGGTCTTTTTTACGAATTGTACCATTCGCTCGGCCCTGCCATTGGCCGCAGGGTGAGCCGGCGAAGTTAAGGCATGGCGGATGCCCCGATCCGCTAGGTACTGTTCAAATGCAAGGGCAGTGAACTGGGGGCCATTATCCGAGACTAAAACGTCCGGCAGTCCATTCGTAGCGAATAGTCTATTTAATTTTTTAACGACGGCTTCTGTGGTGGTGCTTTTCATTTTGTGGACTTCGAGCCAGTTGGAATAGGCATCCACCGTTATGAGAAAAGTGTGTCCTTTGGTGGGTCCCGCAAAATCAATGTGGATGCGGGACCAGGGACCACGAGGTGCATCCCATTCAGTTGGAGGTGCCCTTGGTGGGGCCGCGCGGATTTCCTGGCACTTGCTGCAGGCGGCCACCCATGCTTCTATCTGTTTATCGATACCTGGCCACCATGCGTAACTTCTTGCCCACACCTTCATTCGCACGATGCCTGGATGACCATCGTGCAAAAGTTTTAGAACTGTATGTTGTAATTTTTCGGGAATGATGACTCTGTCTCTCCACAAAATGCAGCCCTTCTGGGAGAACAATTCCGTCTGTCGGTTCTTGAAGGGCGCGAAGGTATCGTTCGGTTCGTTGTCAGGCCACCCTCGTTCCACCCAGCTGAGGACTCAAGCCAATACAGGATCCTTTTTTGTTTCCGTGGCGATGTCTTGTGCAGTCAGGGGTGGTGACGGGAGAGTTTCGATTTGGAGCGCAGTTAGAGTTGGAGCTGGATCGTCTATGGCTTCCAGCAGCGGAGAACAACTCAAGGCGTCAGCATGGGGAATGGCTTTCCCGGGGCGGTGTTGCAGCAGATAATCGTATGCAGCTAGAAACTCTGACCAACGGGTCATTCTTGGTGATAAGATGTGGGGAGTAGGCTTGTCCCCCGCTAAAATGCCAAGCAATGGCTTGTGGTCGGTTATTATGGTAAACGGTCATCCATATACATATTCATGGAAACGTTTAATAGCGGACACAATAGCGAGAGCCTCTTTATCGAGTTGGCTATAGTTTCTTTCAGTCTTTGATAAAGTTCGTGAAAAGAAAGCAATAGGTGCCTCATTGCCGTTTGGTAGAACATGGCCTAAGATGGCTCCCACCCCAAATGGCGAGGCATTGCAGGTGACAGTTAAAGGCAAAGTCTCGTTATACTGCATTAATACAGCATCTGAGGTTAAAAGATTTTTTATTTGCTGGAATGCTCGTCCCCAGACCCAAGAAGCCTTCTTGTCCAGTAGTCTGTGTAATGGCTCAGCTACAGTCGCCTTCTGGGGCAAGAAGATGTTATAAAAGTTAATGAGTCCCAGGAAGGCTTGGAGATCTGTTTTATTCTTGGGTCTGGGTGCATTTTTTATTGCAGTTACTTTTTTTTGGTAGGGTGGATTCCCTTTTTGTCTAGTAGGTACCCCAGGAATTCAACCCTCTCAGTACAAAGTTGACACTTGTCCTTCTTTACTTTCAAGCCAGCATCTTTGAATTTCTGGAGAACCGCTCTGAGTCGTTTTTCTAATACGTCTCTAGTGGGGGCTGCTATCAAGACGTCATCGAAATAAGGCACGACCTCTTTTATGCCTTGTAGCAGTCGCTCCATCAGGCTTTGGAAGATGCTTGGTGCTACATTCACTCCGAACTGGAGTCTATTACATTTAAACGCACCTCTGTGCGTGACTATCGTCTGGGCCTCAGCAGTCTCTGCATCTACGGGTAGTTGTTGGTATGCCTGAGCCAGGTCCAATTTTGCAAATATTTTCCCACCGCCCAGGGAATGAAGAAGATGTTGAACCACCGGTACAGGATAAGCGCTCTGCTGAAGCACGTGGTTTAGTGTGGCCCAGTAATCCCCACAAATTCTTATTGATCCATCAGGTTTGATGGGCGTTACAATCGGGGTTTCCCAACAGGCGTGATCGATTGGTTCCAACACCCCCTGGGCTATCAATTTGTCCAATTGTTCATCAATCTTTGGCTTGAGTGCGAAGGGCACTCGACGAGGCTTAAGGCGTATGGGCGCGACATCGGGGCTGAGGCTAAACGATATGGGAGATCCCTTGTACTTACCTAGTTTCTCTGTGAACACGTCCTGGAACTCCTGGACGAGGGCCGCTTCCCAGTCACTGCTTCCGGTCTGGTGAATGCCAGCTAGTTCAATCCCCAGCGGGGCGAACCACTGCAAAACCAACAAGCTGGGCCGGTCTCAATCGATGATAGTAAGAGGCAGAGTTGCGGTGTGGTCTTTGAAAGACACCTGGACGTGGCGGGACCCGGCAACGGGAATTCTGTTTCCCTGGTAGTCTGTTAATATGATTTTCTGGGTGCTGAGGTCCTGGTGACGGATGTCAGGGATCAGCTGTTTGAAGGTTCTCCATGAGACCATTGATAGGGATGAACATGAGTCTACTTCCATTTCACATGGACGATTCTCAATGGCAATCTTCACTTGGATCTTTCTTGCATCCAAGGATGATGCGTGACCGATGGTGATGGTTTGATGCATCTCTTCTCGTCTAGCTGACGCAGCAGGCGCTCAATTTCTGTAGTGATAGTGGTTCCATTGGTGATTCAGGCGGTCCCGGTTTACGGGTGGGCTGCCCGTTGTTTGGCGGGAGTTGTTTTCTCTACGGATTGGACTTGACCCCCGCTTGCTCCTGCAGACCTTGGTGATGTGGCCCCTCTTTCCACAGGAACGGCAGAGTACGTCGAGGAATTTGCAGTCAGATCGCTGGTGATTGGCCCCGCAACCGGCGCATTGATGCGAAGGTTTTTGGCTTCGCTGGTCTCGCTGGTCGCGCTCTGACCTGAGTCGGTTGACCTCTTCTTCCTCACTATCAGATGAGGATTCGAGATCTTCATGATGCGCCATTGTTGAATGCCTCTCTGAAAAAGGCGTAGTATCACTGGCAAGTTGACGGAGCGGTGCGTTGGTGCGGCGCATTCGAGCGGCCGACTTCCTGGTTGCCTCTGCTGCAGTAGCGTCAGCGATGACATCTGCGAGGTCGATGTCCCCCTTAGCCATGATCTTGCTCTGTGCCATGTGGTCATCTAAACCCAGAACTATGCGGTCTCTCATGGCTTCCTCGAGGTTTGAAAAACCACAGAGTCCACCCAGGTTCTGGAGGTCAGCGATGAAGTCTCCAACGCTCTCACCTTTCTGCTGGTCCCTCTGGTAAAACTCGTGTCTCCGGATGAGGGTTGGCACCGCGGGTGCATAATGGGCCCGAAGAATAGGAGCGAGGTTATCCCAATCCATTGTCTTAACCTCTGCAGGCTTTGCAAGTGCCTTAGCCATTTTAAAAATGGCAGACCCGCAATGGGTCAGGAAGATCACTCGTTTCTTGCCAGGCAAAGCGTCTTTCAGGTTGTTGGTCTCCAGGAACATCTGGAACCTGTCTATATACGAGTCCCAGTCTTTGTTAGCCGGGTCAAATGGAGCGGGTGATATGGCACCGCTGGCCATCTTGCCGTTGTTGGCGCTTTCTTAGCCACGTGCTCTGTTCGGTGCTCAGCGAGTGCTCAGTCAGCTCTATCGTCTCCGCATCCCATCATCGTCGCCAGTGTTAGATCTGGAGGTGTGGGCGCAATAACGGAGACGAGGCATCGGATAGTGACTCAACTCTTTAATAGTGACTTCGGAACAGAGCAACATACTTGGGCAGCAGCAGCTCTTTTATAGAGCTGGCTGCTGCCACAACAACCAATGAAAACGAGTTAACTGCTCTAAAAACGTCCAATCAGTGACGGGCCGCTGTTAGCCACTCAGACCAGCCAGAGGCAGCCAATCACGATTCGCTTATTTGCGGGCCAATCAGAAGTGCAGGATTACGAACCTGCGGCTGGAGTAAAACTAGTAGGGTTTTTTAATAATTGAGTTTATTTAGTTCGTAACACTACTCATTATAGTTTGCAACTATGGCTCTATTTGGATGGTAGAATAATTCTAAAACTTCTTGATTAAGGTGCCTGTTTGCTTACTAATTCATCTTCAAAGTAGCACTATTAACCAGAAAACATCTGGTTTAATAATGTCAAAGGACTGACATTGTGCATTTGGCAATTATCCCAATGGTGTTTTTTTTCTGCAAAACAAACATTAGTTTTGATTTATTTTTTTCTCCTTCAAGCTACAGTAAGGGAAAAGGGTAATATTCATTTCCCATCTCTGTTCTGATCCTATTAATTATCAGAGCTATGCCATAGGAGATGTTTCGGGAGAGATGCTTTAGATTAGAACATGTGGGAGCATGAATACAGTATCTATCTGCATCTCATTAAAGCCCAATCTGTTTCCAGGATCGAATGGATATCTTAATGATTTCCCAATGGTACAGTATTTGTACTTTCACATTTTTTCAGTTTCAGAATTTAATCCACAGGACAGGAAAATAAAGATGAAGTTTCAGTTTTAAAAGAAACCATATTATATTAGAAAAGAAGATAAACTGAAATAATTTTTGGAACTTTTATCAGATAGAAGACAAAAACAAAAGAACATCAAAAATTATAGGCCAGTGAATATTTATTTCATCTTTCCAGTCATCCCTTTTACTGGCCCTCCCTCTTATTATTATACTGTAGGGCAGGGGGTTGGACTAGATGACCTACAAAGTCCCTTCCAACTCTGATGATCTGTTATCTCTTCGGCATTGTTTCTGAATTTCTTCTCTTTCAGTTCTCTATAGAAAATCTGGGTAACAAACAATTTGTGAAAAGTAAAAATGAATAAAATAAAACTAGTTATGGGGTAAACTTGAGAGAAAGAAAATGGAGAACTGAAGTTAAATTGGTTGAAAAATAAATAATAAGACCAAAGTTGTACCCGCATCTTAGATTTATCACCTTTAGGGTACTGAGTTTATTTTGTTAAGTCCCTACATCAGTATCTGAAATATGATATAAATAACCCTCAAGACCTCCTGTTTAGTATTTATTCAGTATATTTCATTTGATTGGTCTCCTGCCTTTCTATTCATATGAACATGTAAGGCATACAAAAACAACTTCTAAAATACAAACATCACAATAATTTAAATGGTATTAAAATAATCAACAATGATGAAGTCCAGATGGTGTAGGGGAAAGTGCTCTCTAATGTGTCTGATAAATAGGGCTCTAAAAGCAGGTGAGTGTTTAGAAGAAAATATCTTGTATATTTTAATGACTAAAAAGATTAATAAAGGATAGGATATTCCAAGAGTAGTGAGATCTTTTTAGTGTTTTAAAAGTTAATGTCACCATCACCTTAATTTGTGTGCAAAAAAAAATAAATCTGGCAATTAGTGTGATGGTGATAATATAATCCCTTGTCCTGGTGAGCAACTGAACTCCCCCATTTTGTAAGGTTGAAGAATGGAATGGAACGGAACGGAACAGAACAGAACAGAACAGAACAGAATATGGAATGGAATGGAATGGAATGGAATGGAATGGAATGGAATAGAATAGAATAGAATAGAATAGAATAGAATAGAATACAATAGAATAGAATAGAATAGAATAGAATAGAATAGAATATGGAATGGAATAGAATATGGAATGGAATGGAATAGAATGGAATAGAATAGAATAGAATAGAATAGAATAGAATAGAACTGGAAGGGACCTTGGAGGTCTTCTAGTCCAGCCCCCTGCTCAAGCAGGAGAAGTTATATAATCTCAGACAAGGTATACTGAATTTGTGTTAAATGTTGATAATGGAATATACCTAATCTTTGTTAGAATATTTTTCAACATCCACTTGTCTAGAGCAGCGGTCTCCAACCTTTCTGGACCCAGGGACTGGTTTTGTGGAAGGAAAAGGTTTCCACGGACGGGGTGGGGGAGTGGGATGGTTTCATGTGCAACGTAGAATAGTTGGAAGGAACCTTGGAGGTCTTCTAGTTTAACCCTTACTCAGGCAGTGGGTTGGAAGGAAGCTCCAAACACTCCTCAAAAAGATATCTCCAGGTAAATTGTATAACAAAAAAGGCTAAGGTGTAAATAAATGTTATGATATCCAATCAGCCCAGGAATAATCACATATGGCACAGTAGTTAAAGTTGCACAAGCATACTCTTTGCCACAATTGCTATTGGGGAATCAAGGAACAACTCGAGATTAAAACGTATTCCCAAACAGTGCGCTTACATTGTTTTGGGAGTACATATTCATGCATCACATATTCATGCACGCACCTTTTTACACATGTTTAGAGATCTACAAAGTTTTTTTCAAACCTCCGCCAAAAAAATAGAACTAATATTACTAAGTCAGTTTCTAAACTTCTTTTTTTTTAGAATAAAATAAAGTTTATTTAAGATTCATACATTTAAAACATTTAAAAACATGCAAACATATAAACAAATATATGTACATATATACATTTTACAGCAGGTATTGAGCGATGATTACACACATCTTTAATCCCCCTAACATTGACGTAATCTACCTTGTTACAGTACCTTCCTCGTTCTTTTAATGTTTTGATTTCATAGAATATTTTATAATGAAACGCATGTCTTCCATAATTTCATAACTTATCCAGTTGTCAAATATTGCCTTTTCTTTAACAATTCATACCAGCAATTCCATGTTTTATAGTAATCACTATTTTGATTATTTTTTAGTAATTTAGTTAGGCTATCCATCTCTACGCACTCGTGAATTTTTTTGATGACCATCTCCTCTGAAGGGGTGGCAGACAATTTCCAATTTTGTGCATAGCTTATTCTGGCTGCCATTAAAATGTGCAAGATTAAATATTGATATTTTTTTTTCCATTTTGGAATCTATCATATCGAGCAGAAAGGTTTCAGGTTCAGGTTTTACATTTTGTTTAGTTATGTTTAGAATCCAATTTCTAATGTTTCTCCAAAAATTTCTGCGCACATGGACACGTCCTCCACAAATGAAAGTATGTTCCCTGGATGCAGTTACACTTCCAACAATTTGGTGGGATATTCGGAAACATCTTTACCAGTCTCGCAGGTGGCAGATGCCAGCAATAAACCATTTTATACAAATTCTCTTTGTACGAGACTGACATAGTTAGTCTGTAATTTATTTCCCAAATATGTTCCCACTTGTCTAATTTGATACTGTGGCCCACGTTTTTAGCCCAAATTATCATACATTCCTTGACTGTTTCTTCTTTTAATTTATAGTTCAAAAGATACTTGTATATTTTACTAATCCTTTTCCTTTCCTCTCCATGCCAAATCTTGTCTAATTCTTGCTGAGACATATCAAAACCAAATTGTTCTTTATCTTTTTTATAACGCATTTGTATTTGTGCATAGGGCCACCATGCTATCTCTTTTCCTTAGATTTGTATTTGATTCCTACCCTTTAGCTCTGTTTTCATATAATGTCTTTATATCTTACAATGTTATCAAAATCTAAAACATTTGGATGTGTAACTGCCTCCATTGTAGATAACCAAAGAGGGACCTTAGGATAGTGTATTTTTTTTATCTTTTCTAAAAATAATGTTGATTTTCCAGTTAGAACATATTCTGAATTCAACTCTATTCTTGATACAATGAAATGCAATGCTGCAGTCCAACCATAAAGATGTTATGCCACAGGAATAGATGAAAAACACATGCCTACAATTGTTGATGAAAATGAACAACTTCTTGTTTCACAGGGCAATTTTTATTTTCTCATGTTTGCAAGTCACAAAGTAACATTTTTGCCCATTTATAGACACGAATGAAAGAGGGGGAAGAAAGAGAGAGAAATTGGAAGGAAGTTGTGGTTGACTCTTGATTTTCTAAGAATTCCTAGAATGGATCTTTGTATGTTAAAAGTCACTGATAAAACCCCATGCAGTGAATTTAGCAGATTTCATTCTCCGTAAAATAAACGGTACAAAACCATCTTATGCTTCTCTCTCTCTCTTTTCCAAGATCATAGCAATGAAGATGTCTCACAAGCAGGCAATGAGATGGGTGCAAATGAAAAGCCAGTTTCAGAGAACTCCTACAACTGCATCTCTCAATCTCCCAAGAAACAAGGTAACAAGTCCTCTTAAACCCTGACTTTATTTTATTTTATTTTTTTGCCATTGTGATAGACACAGTGATACATGGTCGAAAATGTCTGATTACCATGTAAATAGTTTCCATCAAATCAATGTTAATTTTGAGGATTGAAGGGATCAAAAACATAGGCCGAAAAATAACCATTCTCATCCTCTCTACTTTCTTTTTCAGTTCTTTTCTCCATGTTGATCACAGTGGTCTGATGTTTTGGTATGATCTCACTTCCCCTGATTGGTGAACTCTCTTATTTCTTTATCCCTCTTAGACCAGTGAAAAGAAATGAAACTTCCCAGTTTTACCACTTTTTTTTTTTGGTGGTCACTTGTGATAGAAAGCCGAATTCTCATGAATTCTACCTGTGAGATTTTTTTAAAAAATAAATGCCTTTTAAAGAAAACAGCTTTTTAAAACCGTATTGCCAGTGAAGTGTAATATCATTAAAAAAATGTCTGTGGAGGACAGTGATAAGAAGGGCCAGGCATTTATGCAACAACAGATAATAACCAGCAAAAAGTATGACTTCAGCAACATAGTGGTAAACGCCTGGAATGCACTATCTGACTCTGTTGTTGCATCCTCTAACCCCCACTCTTTTAACCTCAAACTATCCACTATTGACCTCACCCCATTCCTAAGAGGTCTGTAAGGGGTGTGCATAAGTGCACCATCGTGCCTTCCTCCCTGTCCTATTGTCCCCATTTATTCGTACCTATTTCCTGTATTCTTATGTTTATACTTATACCTATTATCTTGTAAGCGATTGACTAAATAAATAAATAATAAATAAAAATATTAAATAAATATAATAAAATAAAACTAAGGGATGTGTTTGTCTGCAATGAAATGAAGCACAGCAGGCAAATCAAATAGCACCACTTGAGCTGGCAAAAGGCAAAAAATGCTACTTTTGATTTCTGACAGGAAAATAAAATAGCTGGAGATAGTCTTTAACTTGGTTGATGGCAATTAAAGGCCAAGACTGTTGGGTGAGGGAAGGATAAGCTAAGACATCTCCAAAGGAGTAAAGACAACAATGTGGCTAAGACCAACAAACCAAAGATGGAGCTGGTCCAACGGAACCTCTCTAGAAAAGGAGAGGATAAGAGATTGCCCAATTTTGCTTCAGATGGCTGTTCCTGAGACCAGATTTTCTGATTATAGAAATGGAACAGTAGAGAGGACTACAGTTTCTGGTAGAACAGAAAGGCAGGCAGGCAGGCAGGAAGGCAGGAAGGAAGGAAGGAAGGAAGGACCTGTTGTTTATTTTTGAACCAAGAGGGTCAGTGTAATTTATAAAATGATAAAGTTATGACACTTTAGACATTTCAATAGTTTTTTTTAAAGATTTGGGAGAGACACTAAATTGATAGCAATAATTTCTGCACAAATTAATACATTCCTTGAAGAAGACTCCATATTTCTTTGGAAATTCTATTTTAAAAGGCAGGAAAGAAAACAACATGGAAGAAATTAAATACCGACAAGATGAAAAGGTGAAATAAATTGCTGCTGATGTAAAAATATAGGAAAATAAAGTATTGTGGATTAAAAAAAAGAGATGGCAGCCAGAGTGGAAATACAAATGATAAGCCAAAAAGTAAAAAAATGACCCAGGCAAGGATTTATCACTGGATTTACAAAAGAGGCTTCTAAAGCCTTGAAGAAGTGTTTGTGATGTGAGAAAGTAAGTTTGAATGGAAATTCAATCCTATGACAAAACTTAATGGATTAAAGGTCTAGATGGTTAGAAGCAAAAGAAAGGAATATAAAGTTGTTTAAACAGTGTTAAAATAAGAAATGTTTCTATAAATTTCTGGAAAAAACTTTATGGGCTTTTTATTGATAATTTGCACTGTACAAAAATGTCCTGTGTGTAATGTGCATGAGGTTAATTGACATAACTGATATAAAAGTACTAATGATACCATTATACAAATAACATAAAGGTTGCAAATGTTGTAAATTATATCAATAGCTCACAATGAGCATGAAGTCCACAGCAAATGTTCTATGTTGCATACAAAGTCCATTGAATGAAGATCCTGACAACTCAGGCTATTTGTATCTTCAAATGTCAGGTTGATCAGAACTATTCTGAACTGATTTTTTTTTAAATAAAAATAAAAATTACAGCATAAATTCACTTTAAAATATTCCATTAATCTTACTTGACTGCAAACTACAAATAAATAAACAAATAAATAAACAAATAAATAAACAAATAAATAAACAAACAAACAAACAAACAAATAAATAAATAAATAAATAATGCCTTGATATCCTGAATGAAAGCTGCCAAAATGCTAGGTTATAGTTTGAAATAAGAGCGTACAGGTTCACTGCTGGAGCAGCCCATTTTTATATGCATAACCAAAGCAAGCAAATACTTGTACAAAACCAATCCTAAAGTCTCTCTTTTTTTTTTTACATTATCAAATGAAAGCTAAGTTATTGTCAAGATTCTCTTTCAACCGCTACCATTCCCAAATTTTGCCAAACAACATGGTTTAAGCCACACCCATTGTGATTCCCATGAAACTGTGCCAGCTACCGGAAAGACTGAAATTGGCATCCAATTTCTGTCCCGTTGAACTGGGAAAGCCCATTGATCTCTATCTTGCCAATCTAACAAAAAAATAATAAAATAGGGAAGAGACGAGTGGCAAGGAGAATTCTTTCCATTTCTGGAAACAGAACATAATATTTAATTAAAACAGCAAGCATTCATTTTCAATGTTAATAAATACTCAAAACTCATGTTATGCTGATATCAGTACTAATATTTTATTAACTGATTTGATTTATACTTCACTGCCTTTCTGAGTACTTGGAAGAAAATTTGAAAACCAAATGGAACAAAAATTACAAAAACACATTAAAAATGCTGACTGCAAAAATTAATGTGCATTTATTGTTAAGATTAGCACATACATCCCCAAGTTTATTAGAACAGATATGTTTGCCATCTGAAGGAAATTTAACATCCTCCTGTTGTTTTCCTTCAAAGAAAAGATCTGATTCTATAGGCATATGGTTGCTGTTCTCCCTGCCTTCAAGTTACCTTCCCCACTGGTGACTACATGGACAATTTTACTTGGCACTATTTTTTAGAAGTTTTCTCTCTTTTTTTTGCTACTGCCTTCTTCTGGGGGCTGAAAAAGAGTGACTGGCAGAAAGTGATCTGTCTGGCTTCATGCCTTAGACATGGTCTCTCAGTTTCTAGCCCAATGCTTTTAATCACTATATCAACAGGGCTTTAACACTGTTGGAGATAGAAATAATTTGTAGTTATGGAGCCATCTGTAAACTATATTCAACTCCATTCTATTGAACTGCAAACAGATGGAAAGAAAGGGCACAACAGCTGGCCAAGCACTAATGGATTTGAAAAAGCAAGAAATATGAAGCAGACATAATGAGCAGAAATATTCCAGAATATGGATACACTATTAGTGTTTTTCATAGTACAGAAGGAGATTCATTTGTCAATTTATTGTTCTTAAAATATTATAACTAATATTATAAAGTTATCTCTCATCCCAAGGTATTGAAACTGATCATAAACTTTTTAGAGTTACATAGTTGGGTGCAATAAAGATGTTATGCCAGAGGGATAGATGAAACACATGCCTACAATTGTTGATGAAAATGAACAACTTCTTGTTTCACAGGGCAATTTTTATTTTCTCATGTTCGCAAGTCACAAAGTAACATTTTTGCCCATTTATAGACACGAATGAAAGAGGGGGAAGAAAGAGAGAGAAATTGGAAGGAAGTTGTGGTTGACTCTTGATTTTCTAAGAATTCCTAGAATGGATCTTTGTATGTTAAAAGTCACTGATAAAACCCCATGCAGTGAATTTAGCAGATTTCATTATCCGTAAAATAAATGGTACAAAACCATCTTATGCTTCTCTCTCTTTCTTTTCCAAGATCATAGCAATGAAGATGTCTCACAAGCAGGCAATGAGATGGGTGCAAATGAAAAGCCAGTTTCAGAGAACTTCTACAATTGCATCTCTCAATCTCCCAAGAAACAAGGTAACAAGTCCTCTTAAACCCTGACTTTATTATTATTTTGCCATTGTGATAGACACAGTGATACATGGTCAAAAATGTATGATTACCATGTAAATCGTTTCCATCAAATCAATGTTAATTTTGAGGATTGAAGGGATCAAAAACATACCTCCTCCGTGGCTCTGGCAGAGATAGGGGAAGCGCCATACATTGCCCAAACCTACACAAAACCCGATACAGGTGAGCATGTATTGTGCTTTATTGTCCCATTTGGGTCTTGAATCTGCTTCTGTGGTCTCTATCGTTTCTAGTTCCTTGTGAGAAGGTATTCTCAAATCCAGACCAGGATTTGGCAGCTGAAGTTTCACCATGGCTGGACCGTTCTTGTACACAAATCTGCCACGGGTTCTGGGCTAGACAAAAAAAGGAAGCCTTAGCTGCCAGCTTCCACTCTTTATAGTGAACCTTTGACACTAATCACATTGGTGCTGTCTTGGGGCAGGAAAGAAGCGTCAGCAACTCATTTGATTAACCAAGGTTACTCTGAGACTTATTAATGTCTTATCTGCCAAAGCTCCAGCTGAAGACAGAGATTGCTTGGTATCAAAGCTGTGAAGAGTAGCAATTCACAGGGCAATTTGCTGCAAGGTACATTAAGCAGCATGTTTAAATAGGATTTGCTTTTCTTGCATGCATCTTTCTGTTTGACCCTCATTAACACTACATAGAGAGAAGAAAATTACTCCGGCAGAATTAAAGCTCATAAACTGCAGTATCTCATCCCAGACTGATTTTTTTCCTGTTTTTATGTGCATCTATAGTATACACAAATCATATTGGGACATTTAGAAGTCCTAGCAGTTCTACCACCTCTTAGAATAGATAAAACAATATGCAAGTCGTATGAAAGCGTGTGTGTGTGAGAGAGAGAGAGAGTGTGTGTGTGTATGTGTATACCCCCACCACCTTTCTTGATTTTAAAAGTCTTTACTTTCCTGCTTTCTAATTTCCCATCCTCACAAATGTACCTCCCAGGCAGCAGGCAGGAAAGAAGTGCTGTATCCACATTGAAAAGCAGCATGGAACAGAAGGTATAAATTCTGTAATGTCTAATTTAGTGAACTGGGGGATCAAATTTACAAATTGGGCTTGTCCTGGACAAACTAAGGGTTATGCATCCAATTTTGCATTATGGCAAATACAGCTCCAGATTGGAATTCCATATATGCTACAAAACATACACTTCCAGCAAATTTTATTTATTTATTTTGTAGTATCTTTATTATTTTTTAAATATCTCCAAGTGGTATCACACCCAATACTCTTTCATCCTCCTGTTTTCCCTGCAACAACAACCCTGTGAGGTGGGTTGGGCTGAGAGAGTGACTGGTTCAAAGTCACCCAGTCGGCTTTCATGCCTAACTCGTGACTAGAACTCACAAAATATTGAATTATGTCATTATTCATTCAGGTGAAGCATTTTCTTCAAAGATCTACACTTGGAAATTTAGTATTTTTCCAGGAAAAGAATATGAAATGTCTTATTCTTCCTACTCCCAGCGTGTTATGATGCTGCTATTCTTTGTAAATATATAACCTGAACCAGTAGAGAGCAACAGAGAACCTCTCATGGGAAAAGAACTGGTTATACTGTAGCAGGAAAAGCTATTTTGTGAAAAAAAAATTCAAGCATGCCGCTGAAATGAAGACTGTGCTACAATTCTTTAGTAACTCCAGGGTGGTTTTCTTTTCTTTCTTTTTAAAGAAATCTCTATCTTAAGAAAAAGATTGGCATTTTCTCTACTAGAACTAGTCTATTAATTTATATCATTAAATCACCATTTTTAGCCATGGTGAAGATGGTGTTTTATTTTCTCATGTTAGATGCTTCTGATGGCATAGCTACTTTTTAAAAGTAAACATAATTAGAAAGCATTCCATGAGGAAACAGATTTGCAGCGGCCTAGAAGTTCCCATCTACAGAGAAATGGAATAAAAGTGGTATTTTGAAAGTGGTAGGAAAATATAGTAAATCAGAGTTGTAAGAATAAAAAAACATTGAAAATAATGATCTCTATAATTAATTGCCAGTGCTTGTTGTATGAGCCCCACCACCACCAAAAAAAAGAATTAATATGCAACTAATTCTTCTTTCCAACTATCAAAATAGGTCAGAGGTTGAGCAATTATAGTAATTATAGCAATTATAGTAAAAGTGTGGCTATTATATGCTTTTTATGATTTCTTTTTGCATTAACAAGGTATGAGTTTGGGCAGTGTTTTCAGCCTTGGCAATTTTGAGATGTGTAGAGTTCAGTCCCCAGAATCCCCTAGCTGTAGTGGCTTGGGAATTCTGGAAGTTGGTTCATGCATCTTAAAATTGCCAACCTTGAGAAATATTGAGTTAAGCAATGAAGCAGGAGCTTAAAGGCTCTGTGTTTTTTTCATTGGTATGTATGTAAATGGTAAGAAACTCCATGTTTAATCTTAGAATTTTGGGGTTAGTTGGGCCATGATTCTCATTTGTACACTAGACTCACTGCATGACCAATGAAGCACAACATACACATAAACTTTATGTAGCTGTTCTATCTACTAATGCTTTGTTTGGAAGCAACTGCAGACAATGCTTTTCAGAAATGAAAGTCTCAGGGATCTGGGATCTCAAAATCTCATCTTGTGCTTAGCCCTCCAACTTATTTTTGTACTCCACAGCAATATTAGAGTAATAAAAGAATAAACAGAATAAAAGAGTAAGGACATGTCTCTTAGCTTGGAAGGAATACCCCCGCCACCCCCCAAAAAAGACAGAATTGCTATGAGGACAGACTTACAGAGACCAGGAGAAAGTAAAGGAGAGCACTAGCTCATTGCCAGGTCCAAACAAAAGGAGTACTTCTAGAAGTAGTATAGCTACTCAATCATCTCATTAAGGCCAATCATTCATAAGTCTCCTTAAGAAACTGGCCAGTCAGGGCATGCAGAGAGCAGCTGTACACCTGGTCCTGAGTTAAGCCACCCTTTCAGACAGGGCTTTCTTTGGATGTAGCCAAAACACACACACACACGTACACACTCAGACTTCCTCTTTCCTAATTATTGGGGTGGCCATCAAAGGTGACTTGAAAGGCTGTAACTTGAGTCCCCAAGTATAAGACCAAATATAGTGTTCTGGTTAATGAAGAGTGCTGCCAAATAAATAAGCAAAGTAAAACTATGAAAAGGGTAGCTCTGTTATGCAATGAATTTTTAAATAAATGTATATTTAACGGAATATCGTGGTGATTCTTCATTTGCCATTCATGAGAAATGTATATATAAACGTATGAAAAAGCTTTGATATCATAGTCGGACTAATGAAGAACTACTTCTCATGCAGAACTCTGCAGAATTAACCTTGAGGTTTCATCAAAGACTGGGGTAGTGAAAGCCTGAATGCTTTCTAATGACAGAAACACATGGAGATGCACAGTAAATGGTTCGATGTAAATCTAATTTCTTTTTCTATCATCCTTTGGCTTACCATTTCTTACTTCTTTTCAATGCTTTTGTATAATGTTACCTATCCCTAAAGAGATGCGTGTCACGGATATGTAGGTACTGTATATATCTCAATATAGGTGGAGCAATATCAATGGCTGGTGATCCCTTGACAATTTAGTTTAACTTTTAATAATAAATATTAAAAAATGTTATACAGATGTTATTTAGTTATTTTAAGTATGTTTATACCAATGAAAATTCAACAAGACATCCTTAAGAATGAGCCACTCTGGATTTGAATGTTTATTTTAAAAAAATAATTTTAATACTAACAATATAATTTGAATAAGAAATTTAAATGGTCAGTTTTTGTTTTTATGTTAAACATTTCAATGTAAAATAATAATATAAACAATATGCACATATGAGATCCTAAAGCGTCTTAATGCTTTTAAAATAACTGCATTAAGTCAAACAACAAACTCCTTTCTTTTGAATTTCTGTATTCCTGAAGAGGCATCTCTTAGCTTTGCGGTTATAAAAGGCACTCAAGAGACTTGATCATTGCCTTCAATTTTGTTGAAGGAACAGTGAAAAGAGAGCGCTGATAGGGGACAAAAAAAATGCACTTAGAGCATTGCTCAACACAGAACATCAACAACATTGCAAAACAAAGATTTCCAAGAAAGCAGCCTATTTTACTGCATACAAGAATGTTTGTACTATGTTTTCCTTGTAAAGCTTCTGTAATCACATCACATCTTCATTCTTTAACTTGCAATATACACATAAACATTATTGCACCACCATACAGATACAATCCTGTCTATCACATAACTATTAAATCAACACTAATTATGCTCCTTGTAGAGGAGAAGAATTTACAGCCTATTCATATTATGAACTTCTCAAAGTTTTTTTTTAAAACTTCCTCTACAACAGGGGTCCCCAACCCCCAGGCTGTGGTACACTACTGGTCCATGGCCTGTTAGGACCTGGGCCATGCAAGAGATAGGCGAGCGAAACTTCATCTTGCATATGCGGGATCTGTGTTGCACATGAAATCATCCCCCTCCCGCCCCCCGGGTCCGTGGAAACCCCTTTCTTCCACAAAACCAGTCCCTGGGTCCAGAAAGGTTGGGGACCGCTGCTCCGGATGAATGGATATTGAAAAATATTCTAACAAAGATTAAGTATATTCCATTAACCACATTTAACATAAATTCAGTATACCTTGTCTGAGATGGTATAACTTCTCCTGCTTGAGCAGGGGGCTGGACTAGAAGACCTCCAAGGTCCCTTCCAACTATTCTATTCTATTCTATTCTATTCTATTCTATTCTATTCTATTCTATTCTATTCTATTCTGTTCTGTTCTGTTCTGTTCTGTTCTGTTCTAATTATCATCTATAACCTCTATCTCGGGATTGACTTGCAAGTGTAAATTGTATAGTTTAAACATCTGGGTTAACTAATGAATTTTATTGAACTATAAAACTTGCAGCATCCTCTGTGTTATTTTGGTTGATCTTAAAAATGTGTCAATGATTGAAAGGCTTTGAATACCCATTTTACAGTTTATGTTCGCCTCCCTGTGTGGCTCTTTTCATATATTCTATCACTGCATTATTAAAATGATGGGGGGGGGGACTTTTGGGAAAAATTCTTTTCTTTTAGTGTTTTTGTAAATATTGTGCTCATCTATACACACAAAAACCTGTAACATTAAATTAACAGCCTCAAGGAATTTTAGAGTTAACATATTTCATTATCCATGGTATAGTTAAATATCTTATTGGAGCCACTGTACGTTTCCTGCTGTACTTTTCCTGTCACAAAAGCAAGATGTCTTCATGCTTTTTTATTTACTTCCTTTTTTATGAATGAATATATAACTTTTTTTTAGTAATGGCTACTCTAAGGGAAATACCAAAGCAAGCAATACAACAATATACAGTAACATACTGGTACAAATTACAATACCTTTTCAAGTATTCCAAGAATCCTTGCTTTTTCATCTCCATTCTTTGCTCTGCTCTGTTCTGTGAAGTTGGCATATGTCTCTCTTGTTTATAGTTCTCTGCATTTTTTCTCCTGTTAATTTCTGTATGTTGTCCTATTAATAAGTAAGAAGTAGGAAAACTGTATGAAAGACATTTTCTAAAGAATGTGTACGGTCAATAATGCCTTGCTAGTTTGTACAACTTAGTGATTTGATAACCAGAGGGAAAAGAGGGGTTTATACTTATGGGATGCTCCCTCCAAGGATCTTTTTCCAGAAATTGTTCTGATTTCTTTTCTCTATCAGAAGCTGCTTCTACAATTGTAAATGGGTAATGCAATTTTACATTACACAATTTCACAGGGCATTACCATGGTCGTGATCCTTTCGTAATTTATATTAGTTGTCACAAATATATATACAAACATTCTTTAAAAATATATATAGTCTTCTATTTCCCTTTGAGGAAGGAAAATAAGTGTGTAAACCTTTATACTTTAACAAATTGAACTCAGGCAACATAGTGCCGATTTAGAGCTGAACTCAGCCAAACATTTAGATTTAATCTCCTCAGTAATTTGATGTACTATTCCATTGTTTTTAATCCTTTATATCATTTTACTGAGTAATTTAGTAGGTTGGACTTAGAGATTTTGATCTGACCGAAGTCATCCCATGAGCTACATGAGAAGGACTTTAATCCAATGATCCCAGATTCCCCCAGTATTCTAAACCACCCTGCCATGCTGGTTTTAAATAATAAATAATAAGGGTTTTCACAAGGCTTAGCATTAATTATTACAATTAAGTTTGGGACAGTTACTCAGTTAAAATAAGTTCCCAGTGTTTATGGCGGTCCTGCATCTTTGTAGTTACCTAAAACCTTTACATTATAACCATTGGTGGAGATGACAGAGCTACAGCATGAATATTTGGTTTCTTCTGACTGATTCTGAAGGGGGGGGAAAAAAATCAAGATTTTATTATTTTTCTCTAATACGGATACAACCACAATTTTATACTGTTCTTATATCCTCTTTTTTTACAGTCTGTTTTTCATAGAAATTTATGTATACATTGCAATTGTGACTAATAAGGAAGAAAGTTGAATTCATGTGTAAAGAGAAAAGACTGAAGCGAGAACATACAGGTACCATAGTGGCGGAGTAGTTAGAATGCAGTATTGCAGGCTAAGTCTGCCCACAGGCTGGCGTTCAATCTTGATGGGGCTCAAGGTTGACAAAGCCTTCCATCCTTCTGAGGTTGGTAAAATGAGAACCCAGATTATCGCTGACATTATAAAACATCCAGAGATGCTGTAAAGCATTTTTGGGCAGTATATAAGTGCTACTGCTACCATTATATAGTTGCAGGCAATCCTTTACTCGGGTTGCATCTTCATGAAATCTCGTTATGTACTCACAGTAAGATCACGAGATAAATGTAGGGGGAGAAACACACTAGAATATGTTAGAAATTGCTAGTACAGAAATCATTTTCTGATGAAAGGTGATGTTTCTATAAATATCAATGTTCACAGACCAAATCTGGATTTATCCAATTCTGCAGTACCTTCATTGGATATGTCACATCTTTTTGAAGTCCTGTCCTACCAAATTCAGCATTTGGCTGGCTTGTATTCATAAAAATTGCATTTTCAGCCAAATTTCTGTAAAAGACAGAAATTATTACTCAATTACTCAACAAATTATGGAAAAGAACTAAATACGCAGAAAAGAATTGTAAGCATCCGTTTAGAATTCCTTTTATAAAATGTATATTTGCCAAATCAAAATTTGCAAAACAATGTTTCTTCTGAGATAATTACCTGACAACTAAGTATACGTTCTCATCATGAGATGTTCATTTTAAACATTCAAAAGACACTTTAAGTACGGTATCCTTGAGGATCTTTCTGTTTCATGATCATTTTGCTGTACATTAAATATGAATTCGCTACTTCGAACTGGTCTTTGGTGTCTCAGTTTGTTGTTGTTCTCATACCTTTCCAGCTTTTCATTTCACTTTATTGTGTGTGTTCCATATTATTAATAGGTTACATATACTTTAAGTATTTTCAGGCAGAAGTGAATGCATCTTGAATTCATCTTGAATTTTGAACCTAACACTGAATCTTGAATCTATATTGATAGTTGCTTGACTAGGTGCCATTAAGAACAACTTTAACAGTCAGTGTAAACCTAATCCTAAATCAACAGTTGCTGCCCTTCTTGGAGTTGAAAATATGTGATAGCTTGGCATTTCAATTTTACTTTTTTTTTTTTTTTGCTAAAACAAGTCAAGAATTGTGGAATTCTACTTTGTTGATAGCTTGTATAATGGTTTTTAAAATTAAATTACCATGTAGAGTTTATAATAACTATGTTTTGTTCAGTGACTATTTTAGTTTAATCTGTCCCATGCAATAATAATTCTTTAAAAACTTTAATACATTTACTCTGTTAGTTTATCACAGCCAGAATTCTTATTAGGATGAGAAATATGAACTTACCAGCTCAAATGAAATAATGTGCATTTGAAGGAAATGCAGCATAATTTCTCTGAATAAAATGGTATCTTTTTATTTCCTTTGAACCATGATAAAAGTATTTATATTATGCACTGAATTTCCTTTCTAAAATTAAGCATTTGAATGTATGTCATGGTACAGAATGTCTTCTGAACTTCTAGTCCCACCTACTATATAGATGCAGGTTATGCTGTCTCTTATCTAACCATTGCCAGGCAGCATTTCTTGGCCAGTCTCCCAAGGCCTTTCCCATGTACCATTATAGATGGGAATTAGAGGGGTGTGTTTATGTGATGAAATAAACTTATTAACCTCTTGAACTCTTGATACCTGAGGTAATATTCTTTCCCACTATTAATAATTGGGTCTGCTCCTGGAGTCAGCAATTCCTCATACTTCCATTAAAGTTTGAGACTGATGTGGGATTGACTTAATTAAGTCACATCTATTAACTCCTATTTTACTCTAACAGTTAGAAAAACAATTCTCCTAAAGATGCTTTAGTTTAGCAGCCTAGCATAGCCATTAAATAGATCTATTATGAGTTTTAAAAACCATTTCAAGAGTGAATAGGATACAAAAAACATGTCACCAACCTGTTCACATAGTGCTGTGTATGTGAAGTTTCTAATATGTCTTCCAGTCTTCTCTGTTTGGTAGCTGTTTCTATGTCCATGTTCTCCCTAAATTTATTTCTTTTTTTGGTCTTTAAAGATGCAATATATTGTCAAATGTATTAATTACAAATAAAGTATATTTTGGAAAATAACAACACCTGCCCAGTACTATGCTAGCAGATAACAAATTTCATCCTAGTGGGTGTTATTTGTTTAGTACAATAAAAATGAAATGATTAAAAAATAAAAACAAATTTAATACATTTTAATTTGGCTCTTTATTGTCATTCTAACTAATACTATAAACATTTTTTTCTTCAATCATGTCTGGATTCTTGGAGACTGCCTGGACAAATCTTTGCAGTTTTCTTGGCAAGGTTCTGCAGAAATGGTTGACTGGCAGGGTTTCCAGTTGGCTTTGTATTCAAGGCAAGACTCACAGTCTCACAGTTTCTAGTCTGATACCTTAACCATTACACCAAATTGGCTCTCAATACTATATGTATCTTTTCACAAAATGATGTTAATATTTTTTAACATTTCCTCTACTTCAACTTCCAGAGTTATAACCAAGCCCTCAGTGAAACAATATTTTGGTTTCTTTTCCTTAATCAGTAAGGGAAACAGTTTGTTTTCTGTTTGCAGGCAGTTGTCTAGATCATAAACAATCACTTCTTCTACTCTTTACATCTTGTGAGTGTTAATATTTTGGCTTCAGTAATATATTAGATCCAGTCATCTGAAGAACTAAATAGAATTTGCTTTATTAATAATTTTAATTAAATCCCGTACTGAATGTTTTGCAAGCTAGCTACACCTGTTACTTCTCACTTCTTTACTACTGATCCCCAGCCCATCTTTTGTTTTTGAAGAAAACAAAACTTTTCTGGAATCAACCAGGAATAAGCTAAAACCTATCTTGCATCCTTTTCAGCCCAGAACATTACAAGGTCAATGGGATTTATTCCCAATGTGCAACTAAAATGCAGGTCTATTAGAAGCGGTTCAAATAGTATATACATCCAAATAAGACTAATATATAAAAGAGTTACATCAGGAAGTAAGTGTGTGTTTATCACATGTATGGTATTAATCAAATGAAATATCTGTATGTAAATGACTACCTTGGAATTACAACATTCTGGTGGAAATGAGATAACAGATAATCAGAGTTGGAAGGGACCTTATAGGTCATCTAGTCCAACCCCCCGCTCAAGCGGGAGACCCCACACCATTTCTGACAAATGGCAGTCCAATCTATTCTTGAAAGTCTCAAGTGATGGCACTCCCACAACTTCCGAAGGCAAGCTGTTCCATTGGTTGATTGTTCTCACCATGAAAAAGTTTCTCCTTATTTCCAGGTTAAATCTCTCCTTGTTCAGTTTCCATCCTTTATTCCTTGTCTGGCCTACAGGCACTTTAGAAAATAGCTTGACCTCTTACTCTCTGTGGCGGCCCCTCAAATATTGGAAGACTGCTATCATGTCTCCCCTGGTCCTTCTCTTCACTAGACTAGCCATGCCCAGTTCCTGTAACCATTCTTCATATGTTTTAGTCTCCAGTCCCCTAATCATCCTGGTTGCTCTTCTCTATACTTTTTCTAGAGATGATATGATCGTGCTCCACCAAAAGACAAATCTATTTACATACAAAGTAGCCATATAGAGTATGACATTTGAAATTTCCTTTTTTATGAATTTACAATGTCTAGAATTGAGGAATTGTTGTTCAAACAATAACTTAAAAGCAACAAGATGCAGAATTACAGGCATGAATTTTGTAAGGCTTCAAAAATAACAATCCTTATTTTTTATTGAAAAGGAACAAAGGCCTTTTGGTTTGAAAGGCAGATTTGGCATTTGAATAGGGTCTGAAGTCTATATTTCCATCATGACTAATGTCAGACAAGAAAGTAACTGAAGTCAGAATAAAATTAAATTTGATTCAATATAATGTGTTATATCTATTAATGAAATAATCATATTAAACCCATTTGTTTTATTTCCAATATATTCAATTATCTATTTCTGCCATATAAAAGTTATAATTTTAGGCATAGTTAAATTTGGCAGAAATTTGTAGACAATTTTGGAAATCCACCTAATACTTTCAGCATCTCTGATGTAGTGAATTTATTTCTAAGTACAGTCATAATCTAGATACATGTATAAACACTTTCCTCTCCCTGTTTTATTTAGCAATAGCAATAGCATTTAGACTTATGTACCATCTCACCGTGCTTTATAGCCTCTCTAATTCTTTTACAGAGTCAGCATATTGCCCCCAACAAGCTGGGTCCTCATTTTACCCACCTCAGAAGAATGGAAGGCTGAGTCAGCCTTGAGCCTTGTGAGATTTGAACTGCCAAATTGCAGGCAGCCAGCAGTCAGCTGAAGTAGTCTGCAGTACTGCATTCTAACCACTGCGCCACCACAACTTTAGATATGAATTTAGATATGAATTCCAATGGGCACTCATAATCTTTTTTAAAAATCATCTTATTTTTCAAACATTAGGAGGCAATACTCACGGAGTTACAGAAATCCCTATATTCTCCTTCATCTAAAATATACAAAACACTTGAAGATAAAATCAGCAATAGATTAACAAATTTATACATAAAATATGACACATATGAGCTGTAAAAATATGAAGAACAAAAACTGTTACTAAATATTCTTTAGACTCCCCCTAGAAAAAAGATAATATTTATACCTTAGAAATGAATGAACATTTCAATAACTTTTATTCATAATGCACTCTTTAAAAATTAAGTTTCATTCTAAGTTCTAAGAACATTCTCAGATGAATATGAATACTATCAAGCTAAAATTTGTCTTGCATACATACGGGGGGAAATGTTTGAATAAAGATGTTACAGAATCAAATTTCTATATTGATGTTTTAAATTTTCCTTTATTTTATAATAAAATTAATTTTAGAGGTTATTTTCTGGATTTGCAGGATATCTTATACACTTCATTGTTTAAGATATCCTGCAAATCCAGAAAATAACCTCTAAAATTCATTTTATTATAAAATGAATCATAAATATGACATATTATCATAGAGTGAAATAATTAATTATATTGGAATCTTAATTTAAAAATCTTGCATCATGAAAAATATTGGTGCCAAAAGAATATTAATGGGGGTTGAATGACCAATTACAATTTCTTGAATTCTTCTGGGAAAATCCATTGCAATAAATACTTATTCATGTATTCATAATGAGTACATTCGCTATATTGTAATACTTTTTGAGATTAAAGAACTAATTTGCTATGTGATTCTGTTTTTCCCCAGTATGATCTACAGAACGAACTGGGTAGGGTAGGACACAAAATTCAGATTCAATAACTTGTGTCAGGCTTAAGAACAGAAGATAGTTTCAGTAGAAATTTATTGTCTTGCTATGATGAAAAGCCCAGATTTGAGATTGTAATCTCTCCTATGAGAAAGAGGAATTGTTAATGCAAGTCATTTTAATGTCAGTTGACATGCATAGAAAATACAGTAGTATGATATATAACATTACTTATTCTCACATAAACAAATCTTCAGCATTTTTATAGTCCTGGGATATTGAATGTGCTGGAGGCAATTTTTTTAAATCTCTTTGAACTTACCTTCACATTTATTTTGCTTGCTGGAATTTAATTCAACATAAATAGTGCACACAAATGGATAAGGAGTAAGAAATTCATTACCATGCATAAACTTCAAATCTGACACTCTTTCCCACTTATGTAAATCTGAATAGCATTCTTAAGATGCAATAAACTCAGTAAAAGGAATAATATGAAAAGCATACAATTATTGTTAGTATTCTATATTCAACTGGTAGCAAAATATACCAGTTATTTTGCCCCATGATAGCAAAAATAAAATGACAATGCCTACCATTAATATAAAGTAGACAGAAAATTAATATTTGCATGTCCTCATTATTCTGCCTTACAAAAACTACTGAAGCCCACCTTATTTATTCACTGTAAGAGCATTTCAAATAACTAAAGAAAACCAGAATCTGCTGTGTGGGTAATTTAGAGAAGTAATTGAAGAATGGCACACTTTAATTTTTTAACTTATGAATTCGCCAAGTAAGCAAGTCTCATTTCTAGTTTCCACTCTTTCAACACTATTCCTGTTATCTTATTCCAATGGTGATTGCAAGCACCATGTACTACAACTTTTGGAGCTTGTTTTTCAAGTCAGTGTTACTAGGAGTTAATTCTGGTATAACAGTTAGGATATACGGGGGGGGGGGGGGAGTATTTGTGGAATAAAAGAGAAATTATGAAGAAATTTTGAATAGATAGAAAGTTGGCATTTTTAGATAACTTCAGTGACCATAGGAGATTCTTTTAATGGGCATATATAGATCATCTGAAGTCATTTCCACCATATTTTTACCTTAACTCATAGTTACCTTAACTCAAAGTATTCATGGCAAACGCTTCAAACCAAAAAACTATATTCTTACTCTATTATAAAAATACCTTATTATCTATTAAAAGGGCTACGTGTCTTTAAACTGATCATATTTACACTTACTAATCAAATTATATTCCATTTGGCCAAAACTTATTCGTTTTCCTTCTCTGTACTCTGATATGTCTCATCAATGTTGATTGCTTGCTGAGATAAATAACTCTTTTATCTGTTGATATTATTTATCTTTGTTCCCAATGTAACTACTATAATATATAATCACAGAAATTTGTAATGTTTCCAGGGTTTTTTTGGATTAAAACTGTTAATATTCCTAGTACATAGTACTGAGTACCTTGACAATACCATCAAGGGTTTTCCTCTCTGGATTTTGGGAAGAGTCACATATGTAGTCCTGGTGTCAGACTGGTTGTACAAATCCCATATTCAAATTATTGCACACCAATAAAAGGATACATGGAAATATGATCAAGTGTTCAGTTGTAAAAGGGCATAAATTATCAAGGTTTCCAAGTACTACTCGAATAGCATTCTGAAAGATTTAAAGAGAGATGTGAAACATTCTTAATGCTTGTAAATTTATGATAATTAAACGGACTTGTCTAGAGAGTTCCTACAAAATTGTTCTTACACTTTAGTTTAAGTCTAATAATTGCCAATAGATCATCTTTCTTCTTCCTTCTCCAAAACCAGAAGGATACTCTTAACACTAACAGAGTTAAAAAGTTCAACAAACTAGATACCTACCTCTGTAAAATTGGTAAAATAAGGGCATGCATAAGTGCACAATCACGCCTACCGTCCCTGTCCTATTGTCCCCATTTATTCGTACCTATTTCCTGTACTCTTACTCATGTTTACACTTAAATGTATTATCTTGTAAGCGATTGAAAAATCAAATAAATAAATAAATAAATACTACATATTAGATACATCTCATATTACATACTGACCATACTAATACCTCTCTGAACTATGAACATACTAAATATTTCTCTGAAATAGGTAACTTATTTTACCAAAAATTATAGTGATACATTAAATCTACTTGGATCTTTATCAATAAGACAATAATTAAGAGATATTAATGCAGCATTTGTGTACCATACCTGGCTTGACACAGATATTTCCAAGAGTGATTTGTAAGTTATGATTACTTATTTAAAAACAAACAAGTAGCTATTCAAAGAAATTGCAGAAAATAAGATGCAAATATGGTTATTGTGTCATTGCCCATATCAAGAAATTTTCTGCAGTAAGTTTAATGGATTACAGAATCATTTTTTGAGTAACTCCTCCCAATGAACTCCCAAAAACTTTAAGAATCAGCACGATTTGAATAAAACTAACTTTTACTAATTTCCCAAAGCAAAAAGGATTAGATTTAAATTCCACATTCACCACCTGATACTTTTTGATATAAACAAATATTTATTTCATATCTCACCTGTAGCTCCTTACTGACAATGTTTTCATCAAGGTTACTATTAATGCTGTGAAAAAAATGTAACAGAAGATAACTGCAGAAATCAAGAGAAATTGAATAAGTATTCAAACTGTCCTTAGTTCAGACGAAACATCCACAGTTCCCTTTGGGTATATGTATAATGCACATTTATTGCTACAGTTACATGGCTGTTTATGCATTAATTTGTAAAATTATGAATTAATTAATTCATATTTTTTTCCAGCATAAACTCAAGGAAGTTGTTAGAAGTTTTCCTCTTTTTGATTTACATTAGTCAATTACTTATTTTAGATAAATTTTGGGTGAAAAAGTTGTTGGCCAGATTAAAAAATGTATATTCAGAATTAAAAAATATTAGGTAGAATGCTGGCTGAGTAGGATAACAGATGTGTTGTAAAGTTATACTTCTCTATATTTTTTGCTAGTGCAATCTGGGCAATACAGGTATGAAAACCATACTGCTGAATATCTGTACTTACATTATTTCAGTAATTCTTACAGCACCATATGTAGCAAGCAAATGTAGTTATCCCACATCACAGATGGAGGAATGAAATTGAAAGGATAACTTACCTAATGCTACAGAGTTCAGAAACAAAACTGGAATCAGAGATTTCCAGGTATACCTATTCTCTTCAACCTAAACAGAGCCTAAATATGCATCTTATTATTTAAAATATAATTCCTGAATTTTACATATTTGTCCTTTTTAGTTTCTGAAACAATATTTTATTTCTGCTTTGTGACTGACAAATTTGAAGAATTTTAATAGAACTATCACACTTACCTAATTGTATTGCCATATTTGATCTTAAATTTGTATAGATTCACACCAGCATGAAAAAACCTTGTCTCAGGCATTGGATATGTAAAAGATTTCAAAGATGTATATTCTAAAGTCCAACCTGCTAATAAATAAATAATAAGAAACAATTTTTACTTCATTTTAAATCTGATGTTATACATAGACAAAAAAAAAACCTAACATGATCAGATTTGGTTTTTAAAAAATTTCTATGGTACTGTTTTATGTGTATAACAAAGATTAAAATATTTTAATATTTTATTAAATATTAACTATTATATAGTATTACATTCTCATTCATACATAGCTCGCAAGAACTGCTGCTTTTAAACATTTCCTAAAGATGTTCTTACTTTTTTCTAATTCTTTTTACAAGTGAATGATATGAAAAGAAAACTAAGCTGATCTATATTCTCAAACTATTGCTGGCAGGTCCAGGATCAACAAAGGCAATTGTGTTATCTTGGATTTTAAGCCAGCAGTGTGCTCAGAAGATAAGTACTAAATATTAAGTCACACTGCAATTTATGTGTAAGCTGAAATGCTGCAGAATGCTGACTAAACTTTAATTTACTAAGAACCTCATCTAAGCTTTTGGTGTTTACATAAACAATAATCCAATATTTGATACTATAATAAAAAACAATATATTTTAGAGCACAAAATATTTGCAGTTATTTTTCCAAAACAACTAAAAACTAAAAAGGTCTCTTTCACTAAAATACTATATTATAGCAATTTGAGCACTTGCACAGGGACTGGAGCAAGGAAATATATTACTATATATTTAGCAGTCAATGATTTAAACTGTCACAAATAAAATATTTTAGCTTTCATGAATTTTATCACTCTGATTTATATGCCAAACAAGAGAAGTAATTCATAAAAGTCTGCATTTTTCTTATAACTGTACATGTAGTCCTTGACTTACAACAGTTCATTTAGTGATAGATCAAAGTTATAACGGCTCTGAAAAAGTGACTTATGACCATTTTTCACACTTATGACCATTGCGGAATCCCTATGGTCACATGATCCAAATTCAGACGCTTGGCAACTGGTTCATATTTATAATGGCTGCAGTTTTCCAGAGTCATGGGATCAGCTTTTGCGATCTTCTGACAAGCAAAGTCAATGGGGAAGCCAGATTCACTTAACATCCATGTTATTAACTTAACAAATGCAATGATTCACTTAACAACTGTGGCAAGAAAAGTTGTAAAATGGAGCAAACTCACTTAACACATGTTTCACTTAGCAACAACAATTTTGGGCTCAATTGTGGTCGTAACTCAAGGACTATCTGTATAAGAAGAGGCAACAGATTTCAAGGCTAAAATTGCTATGCCATGCAGAATTCACAAAAACTCTGGATACTTTTGCTTTTTTACAGGGCTTATGTACCTGAATAAAATATACAGCTACTTTCAGGAAATTAACACAACTTTTATAGAAGCTACACAGTTTTTTCAGGCTTGTGAGGGGAAAAAAAGAGATATTTTAATAATAGGAGAAATGTGCTTGATTATGTCCAAGTTATATTTGAAGTGTGCAACCAGCCCCACTGCGTACTCTACAATCTTTAGAAGTCAGGAAACATATCTTAGTATCAGCAGAAAGGAAATAACACTGGCTTTTCTCCTTTGAGAACTGCCAAGCCCAGAACTGCTTAACACACCTTACAATTGCATGCAAGGGCAAAGGAACATGTGATTGTCTTGCCACGGATAAACTGATGCTGTGAGATAAACATATCCAAGAAAATTATGAAACCAGATTCTTTTTTGCCCCTTGGCATCTATTAATGCCTGATGCAGAGAAGCTCTGTCCGAATGCTGCTACACCTACTTAAAAGTGTTCTCTTATACCAATACTTTAAATATTGTAAATGTATCCTCCTGTTTATGTCACATGAATCCTGCCTGAACCTTCCAAACCTGTCTCAGGTACAGGGTCCCAGAGTCCATCTCTGACATCACCATGCTTAAGGAAGAAAGGTTATTTTTCATTTGATGACATTGACCTCTGCCACAGGTTCTTTTAACTCACCACCAACTACACAGAATATTCTTTGGGAGAGCATTGTTTGACATTAACTAAACTGTAGATTATTTTATGCATTAGTGCTGCTTTATCTTTCTGGAAGAAATTCAGGAGTTAAGTCAGCAGTTCAGTGATAAAACATAACACCTCTGTGCTTAGCTGGAGGACTAATCAAGGGCAAGGCTGCCCTCTTCTGGAAACTACAATCTTTATTCTTATTCTCCAGAACAGCACTTGAAACACTAGAGTAGTGGTGGCTAACCTTTTTGGGCTCCTGTGCCAAAAATTGTGTGTGGTTAGCATGCACGCACTTGTGTGCCAGCACCCAGAATGCAATGCATCCCCCCCCCACCCTGCGCATGCATGCACAATCCCCCCCACGCCAACCCCCTTACCTCACAGCTGATTTTTTGGCTGGTTTGAGGCCTTTTTTGGCTTCCCAGAGGCTTGGAAAAAGCCTCTGCAAGGCTTTTCAGGCCGAATAATATGCCTGTTTCGTCACTTCTGATATTACAGGAAGTGACGAAATGGGCCTATTCATCCTGAAAAGCCTTGCAGAGGCTTTTTCTAAGCTTCTGGGAGGCCGAAAAAGGCCTGAAACCAGCAGAAAAATCGGCTGTGAGACGCGTACATGTGCAGTGACGTAAGTTTGCCTGTGGCTCGTGTGCCGGCACAAATGGCTCTGCATGCCACTTGTGGCACGCATGCCATAGGTTTGCCATCATGGCACGAGAGAAACTTAAGTTGCCGTCCTTGAAGCCAAATCCATCCAAAAGTAAAATATGAACCAATCCTATAAGCTGAGGTTCATTTTCCAAGTCAATTGGAAATACTCCTACAGTAAATATTTTGGTAGTTCAAAGAACACCTCTGGATTATACTAGTAAAATTAGTAATATATTTCTTGGGTTTGGCTCATATATAGAACAAAATTTCACATATCCATGTGGCTCTTAAACATTTTAAACTTGCCTCCTCCAGTGAAAATATTGAATCAGTTGGCTCAGTTGTCCTCCTTCAAAGAATGAAAATGCCAACCAAACATGATCTATCATGGATTCGCATAGGAAATTGACATTAATTAGAATTGACAATATTAGCTTATTCTTTTTATTTGCTAGTCATCTCACCTTACTCAAAACTGAGATATTAGAAATGTTCTTTAATAAAGTCCTGCTCCATTCCCATCCCATGAAAATTTCCATACCCCTTAAATTCATGTTCCTGATTTGAATGATCAAAGGCTGATTATTCAGGTTATCCCTCATATAGAAAATTGTGTGTCTTTATTCATTCTGTTTACATACAAACTATTTTTATTTATTTCTTGTGCCCGCTTAATATATTTATAGACTAGTTCTATTTATATCTACAACAGAGTTGTGTCTATTTCTAGCTACTATATATTGATCAAGTTCTAGGAAGAAGCTGGTTAAGATGGAAATAGAGATATATTTAATAATGCATATTGGTTGTTCAGTACACTAGCAGAAAAGCTTAGGCGGTAACCACATCAATCTCTTATGGAAAGAACGAGTGCTTTGTGGCACCTTAAAAACTCATTTTTCATGAATAAATAGACTTTCAGGGACCACAGTCTATTTCACTAGATACCAGGTTCATAGTCTGGTACAAGAATATTACATATATGGGAGGGAAAAGAGGAATTTAAGTGCCAAGCTTTTTTTGTGATTTTTACAAAAATGTTATTTTGGATACAGTATTATAAATATTACTCGTTTAATGTACAAAATTGTTATTAACCCTCAATTGTGTCCTCAACATATAGGAAGGTATAGAGAGAAATTTTAAAGACAAAATATCTGGAACTGAACTAATTCTTCAAAATACATGAACAGTAATCATAGAGTCAATCTTTTCAGTCTTTCCCATTTTTTAAAACTTGCTTCCCAAGCATTTCATTCTTTAAACTGGTCAGTTTTATCTACTACGGTAGTCTATATGTAGATGAATTTTGCTCCAATTTTGATTCTAAATGACTACATGGATAAGTCCGTTTGACCTTCTAGGCATCATCCCAAGTAATGGTTTTGCCATTACTTTCTTCTTGGGGCTAATAGAATATGATTGGCCCAAAAAGAAACTCAACTGCCTGTCAGTAGTCTAGATATCACATTGCCATGCATGCATCCATGCATGCATACATACATATCCCTCTGGGTTTCTTTGATTAAACAATGTTATACCCTGGAAGCACACCTTATTTGAAGTAGCACCTATCCCCCAGAATGAGCTTCCCCTCAAAGTCCAGATGGCCCCCATTCTGCTGTTGTTCACAATAAAACCTGGAATTTGGCAGGGGAAATGAAACCCCTTGCTTCACACATTCCACATCTTTATCTTTTATTGATATTATATTTATCTTTTATTGATATTATTGTGATCTCTTTGTCTGATTGTTGTGAGCTGCCCACAGTCATTTGAGAGTCAAGCTACATATGTTTAAAAAATTGTTAATAGTATTAATATTAGGGTTTGGAAGAGAATATGGTATTCATTATTTGGCAGTAGCCTAGACATCTATTGATTTAGTAAAGATGAACCTTTGTCAATTTGTACTTTGCTTGTTTGGGGAAGAACTACATAAAAGCATTTCACGTTAAATGCTAAACAATAACGAACAAAACAATTAACTAACGTCTTTCATATATGGTCAGAACATTCTATTATTATTGTTATTGTTATTATAGACTTTATTCATTAAACATGAAACTCGGTCAACTGAACATTAAAAAATGCATCACAAATACCATTGACTGGTGCTAATGGTTGATATGGGTTGCTACCAGCGTACTAGGTATCAACCAAGTACCTTCTTAAGATGTACGATGTTTTTTGCAGTTCCGCTGGTGTTATTGCAGGAAGCTGCAATTTCTTGATGTATTGTTGTTGTTGTTGTTGTTGTTGTTGTTATTAATCGCATAATCAGCCAGCTGTTCAGACTGGGTTTGGCATTTTTGTCTACCTATCGAGTCCTTACCAAGGACCTGGGATAGGCAAATCTGGATGTTTGATGGTGTTACAGATATCGTTGCAGGA